GCCAATCAAAACAGTATTTTTCAGGAAAAATGTAGCACAGAGCCTTGAAATTATGGGGCACTAGTTTTTTAATGTAGGTTTTAATTTGTAAGAGAATAGTAATCTAAAAGTAACCATCATCATCCATTAGTAATCCAATTCCACCTTTGATCAATACACTTCTCTTTAAGTACAAGAATCCTCCTGGAGCTTCACGTGGAACTGGCTGGAATACTGCAATCTTGGAACCACTCTTATGGCAAACATCTGCTCCCAGATAGCACAGTTTCTTACGAAAACATTTCAGAAGAGTTTCCTGTCTTTTGAGGTACTTCTGACCGTGGTATAATGCTTACATGCACGTAGAGCTTTAGAGCTGCTACTGGCTACAAACATGGAATAAAAGCAAGATTAAAAAATAAGAAAAAAAAAAATCATTCTGTCAACCAAGAGCTCAACATTACACTTTACTGTGGCCCAAAATCTCTAAGCTTAGTTTTGGTACCTGGGGGAGGCATTTCTGTTAATGATTCCTTTTAATAACTGCAAGTTCTCTCCAATAGTACTGTTTAAAAAGAAAAAAAAACAAAAACCAAAAAACCCCAAAACAACCAAAACCACACTCAAAAGCCTCTCTGCAGCGCAGTAAAAAGAACAGGGCAGACAGACTTCAGATAAAGCAGTATAGCATTTTCAATGTTCACGTGTGACAGGAATTTTCTTTTGAAATCTCATGTGAGAGACCCATGCGCTCAGCTGTGGGCAGTCAGGCTTATTAAAACAGAGGGCTATGAAGAGCTGAATGACACAGCTAGGAACAAAATCTCAAAACTCAGGCCACCTCCTTGGGTAACTTTAGATCATTTTCCAAAAAGAAAATCAGTGCAATATTAAGTAACACCATTGGAATGTGTCCTGTATCTGTATTCTTAGGTATTTAATTGCAAACATTATTTCAAGGTCTTAGCAAGAAAGAAAATAACGAAGCATTCTTCATCAGGAATGAGGAGATAGGAGACGCGGAACAAGCAAAGCTAACGGTGAATAACCCAGTAGTTGTGATGTACTGAATAAACTCGCCGAGTGTCACCCCTGTAAGCATTTCTGTTGCGCTGTTGAGACGTGAGCGAGGAGCCGAGGCTTTCCAAAGCACAGAGTCGAGCTGCTGTGAAGGGTTACTACTCCGTACCTTCAGAACAGCTGTCTGCGACTTCTACAAGGGCTAGTTCTACCTCACCAAATAGTTAAGCGTTGCCTCCGAAAGAACAAACAACAAAAACAGTTGCAATAGCAGGTAAAGGAGCTGGCCTTCATTTGATACCGCATTTTATTGTCAGGAACAACATTCAACAGAAGAGAAACTAGTTTTCCCCACATTTGAAGAAAGGGGTTTAACCGAAGACTTAAAATTTCAATCCTTTTCATTTTTTAGTTTTGTTTGGGTTTTTTTTTTATTCATACACCTAGTTCTACTCCCAATTCCCTAGCTTTTAGTTTGTGTGTCAGGCCCTTGAAAAGGAGGAAATTGTCTCTCTCTCATTTGAAGCAAACCTGGAATGAATATCGTTATAAATTGTTTTTACTGCAGTCCTGTTCAAAAAAAACCCCAAAACACAACACACGAGAAATGAAGCAGGCTCTTCATCTGTGCTGCAAACAATGAAGCAAGCATTCTGAAGTCTCACAGAAAAAGAGACCAGCATAATTTATACCTGAGCCTAAACAGATCAAGATCAACATAATTTAGACCTACGCCTAAATGAATCCTCAAACTTAAAACTGAAGCTAAACTTGCTGGCTATTTCTTTGCTCTGTTTCTAGCTGCAAGTGACTCCGTACTGATTTTCTGGTAAAGAGATTAGAGGAAACCTAAAGAAAAGTTTTAAGCAGACCAGGAGTAGCAAGAAGAGTTTTCCATCACAGATTGACTCCTGCTTCAACTATGCAAGAAAAATGAAAATATAAATAGAAACATATTTCAAGCAAGTTTTATTTGGTACTTACATGCTATATATAGGTTTAAAGAAAAACTACGTATTTTGGACACTTCAAAACATTGTGGCTATGTACATGGAAAACTAAAGAAAGCAAGAAAGGAACCCAACTGACTTCACTGTGTCACAAGCTACTATTGAAAGCATTCTGACCGAACGGCTGTTTTTTCCCTTCCGTATATACTCTGGCGGATGAAGTCTCTTTCATTGCATTTCCATTGCTTTTATCCCACCTCCTGGATAAAACGAACACTTGGCAGCAGCAGAAAGTAACTTCTTCAGAAATTCTCCAGCTTTTGCCTCGGAGGATTTCTTCTGCTGGCACAGACTTTCTGCACAGCTTCCTGCAGGCCTGGGCTCACTGCTCACTAAAGGCAAGTGCAGAAGTCTTAACGGTACGCTCTCTGGTAGCATGAACTGACACCCCCTAAACCTCCGTTTCCCCTAGCCAAGGATCTTCGCAGTGACGTCGGTGAGCAATGCATCAAGCCCTGGTTGGTGCTTCAAGCTGAAATGCCTGGAGTGAGCTCTACCCGTAACAGCGCGGTTTATCAAAGCACGAAAAGGTGCAAGATTTTACAGTTCTGCCCAGTTGCAACCGAAAGGGAGGGGTGGAACAATGACAGCAGAAGTCAGCGTCAAATGAAAGAGAAAGCAACCTGCACTGCTCCCCTTATCACTCAATCTGTACTGCTTTATAAAAATCACGCACTACGTAAAAAGCACAAACGATGACCATTTTCCATTTGCTCTGAAACGAGCAAAACCAAAAAATCCCCAAACCAACCTGCTTCATCATCCAAAAATCAAATATTTCAGGTTTCACGCAGTCTTCAATAGTCTGATAAGGCAAAGGAAAAGTCTTCCGTCATTGGGAACGTCAGCAATTTCCAGGACTCAGAACAAGATATTTCCTTCTTGTGTGCGCACGCGCATATGCGTACATATACATCTTTTATAGTGTTGTGAACGTGGATGTAACAAAAACAATCAAGTTTGCCGTATCGTTTTACCACATTTTTCTAATTTATTCAGTTAAATGATTTATTTCTGTACTGAACAAAATTCATAAATACATCATCTAGGAGAACAATAGGTTTTCCTCTTGTCCATGAAAAAATAACGCTTTCAAATGTTCACATTTTAAAACCTGCCTTGTTTTGTGTTTTTAGAGAAAATGCGAGAAGATCATAGCGACGTCTCAATTTACAGAATGTCCCTGTAGGAATTACATTTACAAGAACCTGATACAGAAGCCTATACTTTGCCCCCATAATTAGAGTTCTCTGCAATAATATTTAAACCAACAGGTTTAAATAAAACACCCCATTAACTCTACTTGTAGAGCAATGAGGTATTTATTTTTCAAGTATTAGAACCACAAAGTGTAAAAGATTCTTTGCCAATTTTACAATTATGCCCTTTAAACCAACACCCACCTTTTTAAAAAAAGAATCGGTCCCACCACCCAAATCAGCCCGTTGCTTTCAGATTCCAGTGTCTCGTGTCTTAAGGAATGCAGAAATACCCATTTACTAACAGAAAAAGCTTGTTGGAAGAAGCCGTATTTAAGTAATGCATGTGAAGCATGATTCTTCTAGTGATGAAAGCTATTAGAAAGGTGATCCGAGTCTATTCCCATCATTTCTTCTGCTGGTTTTACTAAAGTCCTTCCAAAAAAGATATTCAAGAAATCTTTAAAAAACTGGAGAGAAAAAATAAAACACTCCTTCATAGCATGGAAGAAACTCCACTGACTGCAGAGATGCTCATACCACCTTTGGTTCTTCAGAAGAAACACAATCAGATCACTTCTACAACAGAAGGTATCAAAAATGGCAGGTCAGCAAAGAGTGACAACGCTTACTTCAAAATGCTACGCATTTATGCAATTATTTCATTGCAAGGTGATTTTCCTTACATTTTCTAACCACAGGAAAAAGAAAATGGTAGTCCAATTTAGTCTGCTAAATTAGTATTTGTTTACCTAACATCCTTTGAAAGTTGTGATGCAATTCAGAAAAGTCTAACGTGCTGCAAACCATCCCTCGCTATTAACGTCAGCAAGAACCTGATGAGGGAAGTACATCCAGAGTTTTACACAGAAGGTAGGCACCAGCTCCCCTTCTGCGTGTGCGTATCAGATATCACACGTGCAGAACTGGAACACGATTGCTGGTCCTAAGCTAGGAACAGCAGTTGTCACTGTTGTCGTTTCTGTTTGAAAGCTCAGGGCAACCATTTTCAAGCAACTTCAAACGACAGGAAGCGCAGTGTAACTGAGGACCCCCCTCAAACAAAAGATACGGCCTCACCAGAATTTGCACAGCATCTGCACGTACTTGGCACGCGTAGCTTTACAAAGAGACGATGCGCTCCTTTCCCCAAATAATAGGGGGTTTACAAATGCTTAAATTAATCAACTTTTATCAATTAAGAGCTCTAGGTCCTCTGTCAATTGCAACACGTTACAAGTGTTAATGAAGCAAGGCAAACCTACCTGCTGTTTGATGTGTTTGAACACTATCTACCTGAGGCAAAAGAGTCCCCTTATCTTCAAAGGCTAGAATTGGATTCAAAGGAACTTCAGGACTATTGCTTCCGTCATTGTTCATGGCATCCAGCCGGGATGGTTTAGAACCAACAGGCAGGTTTATGATCTCTTCAAAATTATCGTTCTGCATAGCCATTCCATTTTCGTTCGCATTTTTCTCTGGATTGAGATTGCTGAAAGAGAAACATAGGTATTTCCTCATACACTTCATCTAGAACAGAAATTTAGTCCTCCTCAAAGTAATACTACAAATGGAAAAGTCTGCATTAATCCAGAGCATCCTTTTAGCCAGTAAAAGCAAAACTATGCTTCTACCACTGTAGAAAAAAATGTTTTTGCAGCCAAGTGCTAGATATGCCTTCCCTCAGATACACAGGATAGTTGTTACATTTGACTAAACTATACCCAGTGAGCGCTTTATGGACACTGCAG